ACTGTATGGACCCAGAATAAAATTTCGACAAGTAAATTGTGAAAAAGATATAATACACTATATAGTTTATTTGGATGATAGAATAACGGAATATAATGAAAACACTTTTTCAGAGAGGATTTTCAATGAAAAACAAGTTTCGGTATTAGACAAGTAAAAAATATTGGAAAGGTAAATTTGTCAGCCCTTGGTCAGACGTCAACATTTCACCAGCTATAGTCAGAGACGCATTTAAGTTTTTCGGGGCTCAAGGCTTATTCAGGTCCAATTTTGTTAGATTAAAAATCTTTAAATTGGGGTTTAAAATTTAATAACATCAATATCAGTGTTGAAATATATATATTTATGAAATTAAGGCAGACCAATGTTGCGCAACCACACTTAGGCAAGTGGCATTGACGGTTCTTACGTGTGTGGTTGATAATAATAAGCGAAAGATAATATTAAGCGGACGAAATATGCGATCGAGGCGTCGCCTATAAATTATGTAACGCTATTTTTATACTGTACTTTGAAACTACTAACAACTTCTGTAACGTTTCGGACGCTATCGCAAATATGTTACCCGCCCCAAACATACGTAACTCATTTTCAGAAGCGATCGGAAACTGCTGGCCCGACATCGTCACAATGCCGGGCTGCAATTTCTCGTCACAACGTTCTTAATTGTTATAGCCCTGTACATACATCATACATTTCCTGTTATCAATTGAGTCATGTCGATATAACTGTTTTAAGCGAAAATGTTGAATTGAAATATAAAGTTAATCTGGGCTTTATGCTAATAAAGCTTATGAGCATAAGGCCAAACCGAGTATTGCAGTCTAATAATTTTTTTCTATTTACGAGAACATTTCTTCACATAGTTCATACAAACTGTTGCAAAAATATAAACTCTTTATTATCACTTAAAGCAATTATTCTTGCATTATTACAAGACTTTTTTTATTTAAACAAGTCATGCGAAGTCTTTCGGACTTAAAGTTAGCAACTTCAATCACTTACGGGAGCCATCACAACCTGTCTAACCAAGATAATTTTTTAAATATTAATAGTAGACCGGTAGCAATTAATATTCGTTGACAATCCAGTGACTGCTTTCTGTCGAATTACTTCAACTCCCTTTCCGTAAGACGCCTTTTTTTCTGTCAAACCAACAGTATAGTCGCATTTGAATAGGAAAATTACATAAAACCAGGTTACCAACCTGCACAAAATACGTTTGAAGTGAATAATTATCGAGGGTGTCGAGTTTAAATATTTCATCTGGTTTTTTCTAGATTTGATTGTTTGGCAGATTATCGTTTGATATTCGGCTGTGAATGGTACAGTTTCTTAGAGTTAACATTAGGAAAACCTGCGATATTTTAAAATTTAAGATATATATTCAATTAGTGTCTTCTTGACCGATTAAATTGTCCCGTTTTGTACCATCCGAGTATCGCGATAAACTTGACAACGATAGGCTGAAATAACCAAACACTTTATACGGTTTTCGTTTTAATGTTTGTTATATTACAGTAATTGATTTATACAACGACAAAGGTTATTTTACGTAAGAGTTTATCACAACGAATGACCACTCTAACACATTTTAAAAATTATTTCTCCACTGTACACAATTTAAAGAATTTTTATATGTTCTATTGGTCATTTCATGTGATAAACCCTTACGGAAGATAACTTTCGTAATTATATAAACCAAATATTATAATATTATATTAGAAGTACGAAATAACAACAAACATCAAGATTATTAGATTAATTTTTTGCCAAGGTAACGTTGCTCTTACCTGCTAGTATTTAATGAATCTAAAAAAGTTTATTAACAGATAAATTTAGTAAATGCGTTGGGTCACTTGTCTTCAAAACCGGGATCAATATAGGATCGATATGTTCGGTTTCCCGAACAATGGACTGTTATATAACTTTTTTCTCTCTGTCATAGGATGGGGGAGATCTCTGTTTTGAAAGCGCTAGTATAACGATTGAGTCCTACGACTGATAAGTCAGGCATGATCGAAGAATTCGAGAATATAGTTTTTAAAACATACGAAAAAAAAATTCTTATAACCCACATCTTGACAGACGGTATATACATTAAAATATATAAATAAAATTTACATGAAAGTAAAAATTGTCTTCTTGTTCCGTCGTTACAAACATCAGTGACCTCCATAAACAATTTTAGGTTACGGATTTGATTTTAAGAAATTTTATCGCGAATTATATTCAACTATATACATGTATTTATAAATTATTAACGTTACCGGATTTATTATTGCTTCTTTATAATTTTAATTGTTACAATTAAAAATTTGAATTACAAAAAATATTTTAAACCTAAGTGTACGTGGAACAGAGTAAAATATTGATTTCCTCGCATTCTACGTTATTCAATACGAATTTATTTCTTGTATTGATCGCTAGAATCATAAATGGTGATGTAAGCCAACACAAAATTCGATTTAAATTTAATCGTATTGCAGTTTAATATTTAAGAATTATTTTTCAAAATCATATACGTTACAAGAATTATTATTTCATACTCTTAATTAATGATAAATACATTAAAATTGTAAATAATTATAATAAGTTAGTTCATACGCCTGTTAATATCATCAGTATTAATGCATAAAAAATGATACACTTCAAAAGCGAAAAAATAAGTAATGAAATATCAATCAAATCTAGATTAAACTGTGCTTATATAATTCCTTTTCAATATATATGAACTATTGCTATAAAAATATAAAATATATTAAATATTTCTATATCTCTACGTCGATGATTTCTGATTATCACACATTTTAATAATTTTCTGCTTTTGACGAATCCGGATACTCTTAAAATAATGTTGTTAAATCTCATCCCACCCCTAAGCGATCAATCTCGTTAAAGATAATGATCTGTTAATTAGAAACATGAGCATAATTGAAAAAAAATCCATTTAGTAGCAATCCCATTTTAATAAACCGATCATTCAAAAAGTTATCCCGTAATATCTACATTGAAATGGATTCTTGACGTCGCTGTCCTCATCGAATGAGCAGAGGTCACAACATAAAAGAAAGACCTTCCCCCGAAAGAAGAAAGCTCTCGGGTATTTTTTTAATTTTAAAATATGCAGCTTATACGGTTCTAAACTCCTAGCGGTTACCTGCCACTTTGACGATCCGGATTCGAATCTGTAGGGTCCGATTTGTCATCAACCGATTTATTCTTAGTATGTGCATGGCTTAACTGATAGACGGCACAATAAAAAACGTTGTTGTAAGTGCCGATGCAATAAACAGACAAGAAAACAGCTGTTATGATATTTATTTCTAATTATAATATGTCTGGCTAATATATAAAATATAGCAAAAATATTATTGTATATATTCATATATACACATCAGTTTTTCTATTCTGAGAACTAGAAAGCTTTCTTTTTCGTACCCAATACTGTATATCGATTGGGTAAAACCACCGGTAGTTGGGGGAAGATTGACGCCTGACCGAAGACTGGCCAACTGCAGTTTTCTAGTATTTTTTTAATTGTCTTACATCTAAACAGGGCCTATTGTCTTCTCTATTCAAAATCGTCTCTGAAAACGTTTTCTTTGGAAGAAGAGAAAACGGATGGTGTAAGAAAGAACACAACGAAACAGATCAAACATTAAAACTTCGAAAGATTTACTTTACGGATTGTACTCTGGGTCTTTAGAGTAAAAGACTGATAACTATACTGTCTCGGTTATTTATTAAAGATATCTGTAAAACACAAAACTTACAAATTGATCAATGAGATACGATTATCTAATTGATTAATTGCGAAATTAAAATTTCGCCATAATTTAGCATTAGTTGTTGGGGTTAAATGTAAATAGCGTTTGTTTACTACCCTAAAAATTTTAATGATTAGATTTTGCATGATAACACAATACTCTATAAATTCATTCATTGGCCTTGCATTATATAAACATATCGAAAAGGATATATCGAAGTTGTGGTTTGGAATCCACAATCGTTCAATTGATCGTAAGACGAGTATATCGCATTCTCATCTATAACTAGTCGTTATAGTCTTCATTTTACAGACACACGTAACACCTTGACGTTGAATTTTAAAAGTCTAAGAAACACAAATGTTAAAATTCTAATTACATTTCTATAAAATTACGTAAGTGCTACTAAATAATGGAAAATTTTTTGGCAAAGATTAAAGCCGAAGATGATGAGTATAGCAGAGAAAGAAAAAATATGAACACAGAAGCAGAGATATGTTTGAAATGCCTTTTATCTCCGTTTACGTCTGTAGCAAGGGTTTACGGATATACTTTTTTCGTTCCTTGTACCTGCCGCAACCGAAGTGATATTAATGTTCACCCAATTGTAACAAAATTTCATTCATTCTTCATCGAATGTTTCTACTGGACATTTTTCTGCCTCGTGTTTTCCATGACAATACCAGTTTTGTCAGAGATGACTCCATGTCAATCGTTGTGCTTACTAGTCGAGAACGACGTCATCTTTGTCAAAATAAATTTTGTTATTATAATTTTAACTAACGCTCTCATTTTTAGTATTATAAAAAGAGTAAAATTAACTCCGAATTTTAAATTGACAAAGCCAGAATATTTCTATCGAAAAAAATTGTACGACATGATTAATTATACTAGAATTATCGTCTGTATTATTGCTGTAAGTTTATCTATTTGTTGTCATGCATTGAACATTTTTTATTTTTATCCTGCTTTTGAAGAAGGAAAGACTTACGAGCACGAAGCACTGTTTTGCAGCGTAGAATTTGGCATTTGCCTTAATTTACTTTCAGGTGGAATATTCTATGTAATGTTTTTACTTTTTTTACTTGTAATCATATTAATGAACTTATTCCGGAAGCTATCGGAAGATATGCAACTAGTCAATATCAATCATCCTAATTTAGAAACGGAATTAGAAGTAATTATGACACAACACAATAAACTTTGGAACTATGTAAAACAATTGAATGGCCCATTTAATTACGTATTGACAATTTTGTATAGTTGTCTAATAGTGTTAACCAGTCTACTTTATTATATTTTAATTTTTTCGAAAATAAAATTTGCATTAAAAGTTTTCATGCGCATCTTTTGTGCTGAATTATCACTTGGTTGTGTTTTAGTAGGATTTTTAGCATCCGCTTTCACATCTAGTGTAATTTTTCTATTGTATTAAATACGCTATTCCGTGATTTATTTATTTGTAACTTGTTTTTCTTTTTTCTTTCAGATGCAAACATCGTTTCAAGACATTCGAAGATTCGCTCAATGCGATCTGAAATTGGAACAGAAATTAAAAGTAAAGCTTTTGTTAGAGAATAGGTTAGCGTTTAGCTTTTTAATTTGCATAAAATTATTTTAAACAATTTTTTGCAGATTGTGAATTTTATGAAAAGATTTGGAAAGGCGTCTTTATGTTTATCTATCAACGGTTTCTTCGACGTTACCAAGAAGTTTCCTATTAAGGTATGCGAGTCATTTAACTTTTTTAATGTATTAATACATTATGTATATATAAATTTGAATTTGCAGATGTATAGCGCTGTGCATTCTGTGTATTCGCGTCTCATAAATTTGACGACCGTTTCCAAGAAGAAAAACTGCTCTTACTGAGATTTGAACTCAAGAATCTATTTTTTTTTTA